TTGTGGTGGATGACGGGGTGGACATCAATATATTTCTAAATTGGTATTGACATTTAACGATTTCATGGATAATGCCTGTATAACATGAGCGTAGAGTCAGATGTTATATTTCAGTATATATTTTTTGTGGGCGCTAGAGGGTTAAACAAAACCGAGAACCAGGAACTCAAAATATTTTTCAAAACCCACAAAAATTTTAAAAAGCATGTCTGTGGGTGGTTGGCGGGTGCTCTGGTGTGGTTTGCTCCTTCTTTCCTATCAAACATCTATCGTCCTGATCTCTCCTCCTTCTTTTTTTTGTGTTTGTAACTCTCTTGTAACACCTCTAATCTTCGGCACTTACATGACCTTATTGTGTTGCAAGTGCCATAAAACTCTTACAAGCCTAACTAAAAGCCTGTCAAAAACTCACCAGTGCTGCTGAGCAGCAACATTCCCAGGGAGACAACCCAGGAGGTGAGCCCCTTGCTCTCGCCAAACTCCTGCAGCCAGGAGACGTAGAGGACTCCCAGGGAGAACAGCGTGCCCACAGTCAGCATGTGGAGGAAAAAGCTGATGGCCACGATCACCCACCCGGAGCGGGCGTCCGATGTCACCACGGCCGTCTCTGGCGTCTCGCAGTCGGCCTCTGACGTCACCACGGCCGTCTCTGGCGTCACGCACTCAGCCTCTGTCATCATGTCGTCCAGCTCTGCTGATTTCACGTCATGATGAGGCGCCGCTCCGTTGGTTTGTGACGTCACGTGTCCCAGCTCTGTGGTGGTCACGTGATCCAGATCAGCCGGCCTGTCGTCTCCTCCGTCGTTCTCGCCTTCTGACGTCATAGTGCGGCCAGTTTGTTCCTTGATAATCTGAGGATTTATATAAAATTGTTCTTTTATCTGTTCCCGTGGTTTTGTGCACTCCGCATAATTTAACAAAATTTTATCATTTTTTTGGTGTGCATAATTTCTGATTATTTCCCTTTATTAGTTTTTGTTAAAATTAACAGAATCGCATAATTTCACTTTTTTTTG